TTGCTATCAATATTCATATGAATTACGACTCATAAATTCCCCGAGAGTAGCTTACTCTCAGTTTGAGTTTCGCGAACATAAAACAAATCTGAAGATGAGATAATTGATTCGAGTGCATAAAAAATGGCGGGGGTGCGCGATTTTTTAAGCTTTCCGCGTGAGCAGGGAAGAAGTGTTATATTAATAGCCGAGGGATCAAAGCTAATGTGCCTCTTCCGACTCACACAGTGAAGGCGATACATTTTGCCCCCCTGTCACAATATAAAGACTTAGTTGGAGATATAATGAGAGGGCCTATATCTCATCTGCGGCACAACTTTACCACAGGATGAAAAAAAAGGACTAAGGTTAGGATGGAAACGATGAGGGGGAGGGCGCCGCCACGAGGGCGTTCGAAGGGCTAATGTCGATTTAGCAGCCCCTGCCCCCAGGGGCTCGAGAAGAAAATGAGCGGCGGGAGCTCGCTCCCAGTAACAGCTGCAAGTTGGCTTCTGTATGCAAAGCGTGCGTTGGAGAAGGGGTGGGCGAGACCTGGAAGGTGTGGGGTGAGGAGGAGGGTGAGCCAGGGACGATATTGGGCCGGAAGAAGAGATCCATCATTGAAATGAGAAAAATCTCCATGTTCGCGGAGGACTAATGTTACCGGGAGATTCCCTTCCCTCTCCAGCTGCGCAATTCCTGGGGCGGGGTTTCGGGGGACACAGCTATGCGGCTTCCTATTGGCCGGTTCGCCTGCCACTCATCGCTACTTTTCCCGCCATCGTCATCATCATCATCATCGTGTGGCTTTTCGAAGAGGAGAGAGAGAGATGACCCATTCCAGATGATGGTTTTGGATTTCGAATATCCTTTCGCTCTTCGACCCTCCCTCCCTACCACACCGCTACACCATCGGCGCTGCGATCCACCTGCCGGCCGATACATGGACCGCCGGGATAAAAGGGGTTGTCGAAAGACTTAGGAGAATCAACTTTTGCGGAGAAAGCTTCTAAAGATCTTTACGTTCGAGCAAAATGAAATAAAATAAAAGTCATTAAGTACAGGAAAAACAGTCTGAGATTTTGTAACTTCTAATGCATTAATGAATTGTAATTCCATATTGTTTCTTTAAATTAAATTCTGACATTGTACCAATGGAATTTGTTATATTTTACAAAAATTAAATCAGCTATTCTTAAGCTACAGAAGGCTAATTTTTATGAATAATTGAAGAATCTAGACTATCAGGTTTGAGCTGAGTTATGGAATACATTTTTGCTTAAAAAGCTATTTGATATCATGCGACGAAATCCCACCAAACAGGATAAATTTGTCGTCATGTATTTAGAAATATATATAAGGTATAATATGTTATTTCATTGAAAACTATTCCTTCGTATACTATTTCTTTGTCAGTTGCTGGGAGATATTTTATTTAATTTACTAATAATTTCTGATTACGGGTTTCCAGCTATTTTAGAAGTGATAAACTTCGTTTTCAAATGGTAATATGCTTTATAATATTTTGATGTCTTCGTATTTATACTATTCCACGATAAAAAAAGGAATTCAAGAAAGGATTTGTTTTTTCTAATGAATTTTTTTCTGCACTAAAATGTTATTTTTCTCAGATGGCATCAATAACATTATTTTTGCCCATTTCATGCTAAAATATCTGCTCAGTTATTAACGAAGGCTCCATTCTTTGGTCTAACCTACTAAGCGAACTCATAAACAGTCTATAAAATCCGTTAAAATCATATTTGCTAAATAAGTGAATGATATCGTAGTTTAATAAACTCGCAGCATGCTTTTAGCAAACTGTAAGATACCACTAATATCACTGCGCAACATTCGGAAAATTAAAATTAATCCTTCAAAGTGCGTTACAGTCCCCTTCAGAATGTACAAGCTCAATACCGATGTAAATATCAGATCAATAATCTGTAATAAAATAATTTCACGCAGTAATAAAGGTAAATATTTAGAAATAATAATCGACAATAAACTAACTTACAAGCCTGACGTTGATGAAATCATTTAAAAGAGAAATGCAAACAAGATACTCTAATATTCATCCATTATCAGCTGAAACTCTAAATTATCAACTAAATTAAGACGAAAATTTTATTTAACCATTATAAAACCTATAATGATTAATGGAATTTCTATATTTTCGATATAGTGCTTTCCTATACGATGACTATAAATCATTCTGCGTGAGATTCTCAGAAGATGTAGAAACCTTCAGTGATTTAGGAGCTGTTTCCATTGATGTAAATTCGATTCTGCCATAATTAGACTATAACTGCATCAACTTCTTCAAACGTATACATAATTATAACTATGAAGAAAACTCTGAAGCAATCACTGTACTGTAGGCAAATAATACGTTCGAATTTTAAGGAATAGTTTAATAATGAATTTTTACTGAAAATTTCTAAAAAAAAAAAAATAAATAAATAAAAAATTGAATTTTATTGCAAATTTCTTGCAGCAATTTGTTGCTATCTGAAACGCTTGATTCTTGCTATCACGAATATTCTTTGAAAGTTAAAATTTTAAACACCACCATGTCAAATTTATCTTACTCATGTTAAATGTGTAAATTTTATCTTAATTTTCTAACAGTTAATTTTGAGTTAAAGTTACTTTGCTGTCTTGCCTTAATTTCAGATTACAACTTCTGGCCAGAACGTATTTTCAGAATCACGTTTGAATGAAAATGATGAGAAGAAGTATTTAACTGTGAAGTTCTACTGACTTCGTTAGAGAGCCAGAGATTCTGATCAGCGAGCGTTAGCCTTTTGGCGATACTCTATAAGATATTTACATCGGCTAAGCCCTTGATAGCTTCGCAGTTAATTAGCGTTAAAGGGCCAACTCTGCTAGAATTTTGATAGCTTTGACTATAACGTTTTAGTTTAGTTAGTTTTATTGATTATTATTCCTGAGTTCAAGCCCAAGTGGAGACTTCATTGTAACTCCAGGAAGGCGTCGTCTGTTAAATTTATTTTGAATAATAAAGGGTAATTAACCCTTCGTACGTTTACGTTTCTATCTCTCTGAACTAAGCGATTATTTGCTTATTAGTTTTCAGCGTTCCAGACACATTGCAGTACATTCAAAGTTTGGAATCTCACAAATGTATCTCACGCCTTGTGATCATCATGTCAAATTTATCTCACTCCTCGGTCTTCAAAAGTCCGTTAAGTGTTTTTCGATGCTGTTTTCTTATAGCTCAATACCAACAAACCGGGAGTACAGAAGTCGATAGCAGAACCTACCTTCAGATGATTTTACAGATCTTTTATTAAATCGAATGCACTTTATTCATTTTTCTAATTCTTTCTTTGCTAAATATGTGTTTTGTGCATATGGAGCTCAACTTTACTGATACCCTTCTCATGATATAAGGATGAAATTTCTTCATCAAAAATGGGCTCTAAAATATTCTTATGAAAATGCAGTAAATTAATTTCAGTTTTACTTGAGACTTTTTTGAGTTTCAATTTAGAATTTTTCAAGTGTCATGAATCTGGTTGGGAACTTTTCTGTACACTGATGAAGCCATTTGATGAAGCCTTTCGACAACTGAGCAATAGAAAATTAATATTTTTTATTACAGTCACTTTGTTGAGATTTATATTTATTTTAAATAACCAATTTTATTTAGTTTATTAATCTTTCCTATAAGACTTCATTCCCCTAATTGGCTATGCCAGAATGTTTAAATTTGGTAACGGGCGTGAAGGAATGCAAATTATACCTTGAAGAAACAGGTTAAAAACCAAGGTTCAGTAAAAAAGACGAAGAGTTAAACTATTGCTGTCACCTCTGTTGTTTAAGCGTCTGATCCCAGAGTTGTTGCTGGTTCGCGTGGCTTAATTGCATTTACTTGCTGCCACTAGTTTTCGAAGGGCGTTAAGAAAAGGAATTATTTTGAGCCCTGTAGATTAGTTCGACTATTTGTACATATCTTCTAATCTTTAGTTAGTTCTTTGATTTCACTTACCGCCCAAACAAAGGCGTAGTTTGTTAGCGTCGAGTTGACGCATTATGTGCTCAAATTTTCTCAAAAAAGTATTTTTAACAAAAATCGCAGTACCATGTTTATACTAGAATCTCAAATTCCTGCAGATAAATGCATAATCTAATTTGAAAAAGCTTCATGCTCCATAAAAGGCTAAAATGCGCTTGAAACAAAACTTAACATAACCAGCAACTACCGCACTTCGAAAAATGAATACTTAAAGAAAATAAATTTCACTTACTTTAGGTTCGATAATATTCCAACGTTCTCTTCTCCAAAGAAGAAATAGTCGCAAATATTCATTATTCAATGAAAACAGTCAGTGTAACTATTGGACATGAGATCAAAATTTTGTATGAAATTAAAGAACTAGTTAAATTAGAACTAAGGTCAGTAGACAAACAAGGTTATACTCTCCTCAACGCAGGAGTTCATTGACGTCACTCCACTTAAGTGGGAGAATCGAATACTCAAAAGGAATGGAGAATATCATAGTTACCTTTCAGTAGTGTTAATGCAGCCTGTTAATGAAGTCACAGGCTTAGAGATTCTTGTCGGAAAGAATAAACTTTGTAGTACAGTAACATTGACTAGAACTGTGTTCTGATCTCGCCTTGCGAGAGCGCTTTGCGCATAATTTGTTAGACACATCATCGTGTTTTTTATATTACGCAAAAGATTAAATTTTTAAACAAGCTAAAAGCCATTTTTGATTAAGAGTTTGGAGTTACAACTAAAGCTATTTGATGTAACAAACAGGTATTAGACTGTAACGGTAATATTTAATATTGTAAGTGTTTTAGTTGTAAAATTAATTTTCCACTCCAACGTACTTAAATTATATTCATTATGTTTGCAAGATATTTAACATTTCTGTGCGCGAGAAACGTGATCTAATTGCTAGATTTTTTTTTGTTTTAATTGACTATAATGGAAGCTCGTGTTTTTCATTTTCCAAAGACGTGCTGAATTTTGAACTCTTCAGATGTTTTTCAGTCCAACTAAGTAAATTATTTGTTATATTACCAACTACTTTAAAAAAAATTGGACTCAGAAATGATATATTTCCTTCTTTTAAAGCTCATGTATGGGCTTCTTGGAACTTTTTACCCTGTATATGCATCATTTATTGCAATGAAAACAGTAAATACTAAAGATTACATTAAATGGATGGAATACTGGATCGTATATGCTTTGTACAGTTTTATAGAGGTATTTCTAGACTTCCTTTTCGCTTTCTGGTTTCCTTTTTATTACGAGATGAAAGTTTTATTTGCAATTTGGTTAATATCTCCTGTTACTAGAGGCTCAAGATGTATTTTTAGAAGTATTATTGTTCCTAATTTTCCCAAATATGAAGCTTTCATTAACCTTTATATCGATTCTTTATCAAAGCAATGTTGGGAAATCTGTAAAGTGGTAGGCGTTCAAGCTCTTCAGCTTTTGGGAGAATTATTGCATAAAAGTGAAACATCCGTTGGAAAACGTTTACCAAAAGTAAATACTATTTTTCAATCATTGTGTAAAATATTGCAACAGGAAGAGAAGAATTCAAAGGAAACAAAAGCAGACGATAGTGATATATATGAAGAAGGATCTGATATCTCCATTTTGGGTAAAGACGGTTCGGAACGAAAAATTACAGATGGTAGTGATATAGCTGAAGAATCTGATATGTCTATCATTGAAAAACCATCAACTAGAAAAAGACATGATCAACTACGGGCTTCGAATTTTGTTAAACGTTACCAAGATTGTATTGATAACCCGTCTTGGAAGTGTGTTTTAGACAGAGGTAAATCAAATGCCAAAATTTGCTGCCGCAAAAGCAAAGGAATTGTTAAAAGTAAAAATGTCTTAAAACCGAAATTAATTGCTTTGGATTCCAGGGCGTATATTTCCAGACTTTCATGATAACTGGCATTCGTCTGGTATTTCTTTATGAACTTTGAAGTCTCTGTTCATCTGGAATAAGGATTAATATTTCCCAATTTCTTAAAATGTGCTACAAACAAAAAATATTTACTTTATAACTAAAGTGACTAATTTACAAATTATTAGAAAACTCAGTATTTTGTCTAAATTTATTTTAAGTTATTTATTGTTTCATACGCATTTTGCTTCATATGTATTTCTCAAGGCATATTTTCTCAGTAAAATTGAGTTCGGTAGAATTCAGCTGAGTTTATTTTGCATCTCATAGAAATACTTATATTTACATGTAATATTTTAAATTTAATTTGGCAGAAAATATTTTGATGAATAAAAAAACGAAATCAAAATTTACATTTATACCTGAAACTTCTTTAACTCCTGTTTATATAAATTCAATTAATTTCTCATAAATAAAAGTAACTAATACAAAATAGTTTTCCAATTTCTATAATTTTGTAAATACACAAGTAACAACTGAATGTAACATATACTACGATATGTTTTCTTTTATATATTTTCAATATCTAGGAATTAAAATTCAAGATGTTAAATCACCATTTGAAAAGCAATTATGCCAATTAAAATCTTTCAGTTGTTAAATCCTAGGATTCTGATAATAACTTCAAACGAAATATGTATGATTTCCTAAGGTAATTTGCTAACGTAATGTAACTCACTAATTACTCATTTACTAATGCAATTATTCATTACATTAACTTACGTAGATCGAGAAAGGAATTAGTATTTTTTTTACCAAAGCCGACAATGTTGACTTATCTTAGAATCCATTATTCGAGCTAATTGCATAATACAATGTCTAAAATTGAAACAGTTACAAGTTTTAATCATGGAAATAAAAGAGAGTTTTGGTTCTGAGGCCACTGTATTGCTTATGCAACACATAGGGAGGGAACAATTATTGGTGTTTAAAATAATACTCTTCAACGATGTTTCTGTTAGTTTCTTTTCCTTATTTAGCAGTGATGATCTCGATTTCGATTATGAACTGAGAAATTTTTCATCGGAATTATTTTTTATGCAAATTCAATAAACTTTCCTGTTCTATGTCAAAGGTATTGTGTGTACTGTGTGTGTACACACACACATGCCAAAATGTGTACACAAGGGAAAAACACCAAATGCTCTTGCCTTAGATCATTTAATAAAGTTAAATTTAGTTGCCACTTAAAAGGGATAATGGTTAGTAATCCTGTCTGCCGTACGAAGGACCCGGGTTCGAATCCCGGAGAAGGCATGGATGTTTGTAAATGTCTGCGTGACATGGAGACACTTTAAATATGTGGTGAGCCGGAAGTCCTCTTGAGAGGTTGGTTTGTAAGAGAAGAGAGGTGGGATACCCTCGAACCCGTCCTCTCGGGGTGCTCTTCATCAAAATTGGGGGGGGCGGAACTGAGTAAAGTCGTACTGTCACCTCTATGTTGTTCAAGGCTTTTGCAAACGACAGCCGCGATCTTGCACTCCTCGCCACGATGAATTCGCGGGTTTATTCTGATGTTACTTTCCTATACCGGCGTAATAAGCCCTATTAGCAAGAATAATATAATGGCAAAGGCAAATTGCTGTTGAAGAACTGCAACTAATAACGTGGCCTTAAACAGGCGGAACACGCTCTGATTAAACAGTCTGAAACCTTCATTTAAATACTATCTCTTTCTATCGCATTTAAATGCTCGCGGACTAATTAACTACCATTCTGGCAGGAAAACGGAAAGGGAGAATGGCAGTAAAGTTGTTTGACACAAAATAACTGGTTAAGATAAAAATAGATAACTCATTACAAGATTAAAGCAATTAAATTTATCTATTATATATATATATATATATATATAAAGGCAAATGTGTTTAGTTTCTATCACAGGCAACAAGAATATGCTTTGAATTTCTGTTTAACCCGACCGCTTGAAAAAAAAAAAAATTCTGATGTCTACACCACATGGCTTTTTTTGTGCGGAATATTAAACTATACGCTTTTTTTTAACGACAAGGCAAAAATACATAAAAACTGATAATATCTGTATTAAAAATTACGAAGCAAATCTTAAATACTTATTTCCTCGAAAAAATTCCAGAAAGGATTAAGCATGATTTAATTCGCAATAATAAATGAAGGCGTTATTTTTGTGTTGCGAAGCTTAGTCTCTCTAGATTGGCAACAAATCTACAATTCTGCTGTTTCAAATGTAAACAAATATGTCCGCCATGTTATTTAAAATTAAGCTTTTAAATTGTTGATAATTCTAAAAATATTGTTTGCAGATTTCCTAAAGGCATAAAAATCTGGTGCTACTTTGGTAGACGGTTGCACTGATTGTGGCGATCTACGTTGGCGCAATTGTTGGCGCGATTTCTACAAACGTCAGCCATCTTGAAAAACGCTGTTTTTACGCATAGTAAAGTATTCGAAACTTAAAAAAAAAATAAATATCGTTAGAAATAATGGATTAATTTTTTTTTGAAAATATCGTTTTTAAGATGGCAGGCAAGTGTAAATAAATACATTTACTGTGAGTATAAAATACTAAAGTAAGGTTATTATTACTTTCATATAGCAAAAAGAGAATAAAAACATTGTGCCAACGTTTAATTAGATTAATATTACTGAAATTGAATATCGAAATAAAAACATCATCCAACATTTAAAAGAATTAGAATATTATTAAATTTAAATACTTTAAAAATACGTTAATACATAGAATAAATACATTTACTACGAGTATAAAAATACTAAAGAAAGGTTAAATTATTACTTTCATATAGCATAGAAATAGAATAAAATACCACTATAAAAACATTGCGCCAAACGTTTTAATCGGATTAAAATATTACGTAAATGAATATCGAATTAAAAACCATCATACCAACGTTTAAAAGAATTAAAATATGACTTAAATAAATACTTAAAATAAGTAAATAAGAACACTTCGTACAGTAGAGCTAAAATGACAGCAATTAGTTTATTGTTCGGTAAAAAGGGAGGCAAAAAATGTCGGTAAAAAATGTCTAATAATTTCCTTACCGTACAGCGGTTATTTCTTCCAACATGACCACAATATCATATACGGCCGTTCTCAGAATCGGCTCTTCTAATGATCTTCATCTGTGATATACATTTTCGTACTTCATTGAAGAAGCAGTTAGCGAAGTTTCCTTTAAAAATTTAAAATAAATTTCCTCTAACCCTTGTAAGAATTTATAAATAAATATTTGATTAGGAAAGCCAGGGCTGGCGAAAATAAGGTCTCAAAGGACAATTTTTTGATTCTGAAACCAAAAATTCTTGGTACTTATCAAAAAACAACATTTATCTTTGAAGGAGACAGTTTTTGAAGGATTCGAAGATATGAATTAAATTTTAAAATGGCGCGGGAGCGGTAATGCACAGATATTCAGTAACCAATCAGGGAGCTGATTATAGCTCGTTAATTCACAAATATTCTCTAATCAATCAGAGAGCTTATTACATATCACACTAGAATTACAATTATTTAAATAATCATGCATAATAAAATCATTTTCCAAAAAGAACTGCAAAATTAAATTGTATTTTAATATTTAACAAGCCATAAATAATTTAAAACATTAGATTAAATTTATAGATATTAAAACCAATTACTTTTAAGTAAGGTTGACGTCACCTGATTACATCCACAGCATAAAATTTCATAAAATATGATAAAGAATAAATTTTTATTTCAATAAAAATGCAAAATTAAATTGATTTTTAATATTTAGAAGCCATAAATAATATTTAAAACACGGAATTTATGCATAATAACACGCATTATTTTTAAATAAAATGTCAACAAAGTATCGGTTACCATAAATAACTTATCCAGCAATGGGTTTACATAAGTCGTATTATTCGCCAAAAGAAAAATTGCCAAAAACTCGCCAAAATCCGTGCAACCGTCTACCAAAGTAGCACCAAAAATCTTAAACGGAAGATAAGAACGACATAATTCAATAATTTTTTTTAAAGCAAAAAATACACAATTTACAATCATACAAGAGTACAGAAACTGAGATCACTGAGCCGGGTAATAGAGTGATATATATATAAATATTTATCGTTTGGTGCAGCCGATTGCACCAAAATACGAGGTGCACATCTACATGGTATAGCAGTCCTATATACAAAATTTCAACGTCCTGAGGCTACTCGTTTTTTAGTTATGCGAGATACGTACGTACATACGTACGTACAGACACCACGAAAAATTCTCTTCAGAATTCCTTTTAAAGCAGTTTTATAATTATTTTGGATGGAAAGAGTCTTTTATTCTGTCCTTATGTACAGATGTCACGCAAAAACAGCTTTAAATTGCATTCGATAAAGGTAAAAATGGAAATTTTCGTTGAAATATGCTGCCTGAAACTTTTGGCAATTTTAATACTTCCTTTTTACTTCGTACAAGGAAGTAAAGAACGATTTTACATAATGCAGTGACACACACACAGATATATTAGAAGATTTGAGGCACCAACACTATCATGAAATGGAAAACTATTCATAGATTCTTTGAAAAGAAGCATAAAGGTAACCTTGCTGCATAATATTTAAGCATACTGGTACCATAACATGGGTATGCTGACCGCATGAAAGAATGTTATGAAAATTTACCGTTTATTCAGCAGTATGAATTATAGGAAAGACTCATGATAACTCTAAGCAGATAGGAAAGTAATGGCATAAGTACTTTAAACCACAAATTGAATACATAGAATTCTGTTGATGTTTCATATGATTGAAGATAGTAGGGCCAAACAGAAGCATTACATTAAAAATTCAGGCTTTAAATTATGATATTAACTGCATTAATTAAAAGAAATTCAAAATTTCGGGTGTGTCCTCAGAAACTGTATTTATTATTTCTTGACATTCAATTAAATAGGTTGAAAACTTTACGGAAGACAATATATAGAACGGAGAGAATTTACATTTTGTAGTTATGGCAAATCCTTGAGGGCTATCTGCCTAAGGGGAGTATGCCTTCGTGGAGGACTTTCTAAGGGAAACTGGCTCGTATATACGTTACACATGGGGAAAACCATGAAAACATCCGTGCAACCTGCCCCTTCGCGGGATTCGAGCCTCGGACCAAACTACCAGTGTTCATTACGTTTTGTAAAAGAAACTTCTTCAAATGAGCATAAAGGTGTTTTTTGTTTGTTTGTTTGTTGGCTTAAAATTATGAATTAACACCGAATTTGAAGGTACACCGAATAAGATTGAATACGATTGATCAAAAGCATGATGATTTTTTAGATAACTGTAACGTAGAAAATTCTAGGAAAACTAACTAATGGGCTTCGTAAAACT